AGGAGGTGATAATTTATTTGTATACAGTACTGTGTCCTTCAACCAACACTTGGCTTTGTTTTCCTTTTCTCAGGGCCACATTCCCAGTATTTATGTCTGTATATTGGGGACTTCTTTGCAGTCTTTTCTTTCAGCTTCTAGAGATTTTGTGCTGTGTCTTTCAGATGTATAAACTTCCTTAGAACAATGCACTGTCAAAACCCTGCCACCTGCACATGCCTTCGTTTTCAGCAGTAAGATGTGCCTGTCCCTGGGGTGAGAACTACTATTATTTAAGCCATCTGGTCACCTAAGAGAGCTTAAGGACTTCTCAGAACTATCTTAATTGAACACCAGTGATTACACCCCTCAAAAGTGTAAAAGTTAAAAAAAAATTAACCCAAGTTTCAGTAACACCCTATATCTTCCTGGCAGGTTAGAAAAGCACTTATCCAGAATGGTTTATACAGGGATGATCCTGCCTTGAGCAGGGGGTTGGACTAAATGACCTCTGCAGATCCCTTCCAGCCCTGTTTTCTATGTTTGCCTTTACTCTATCATCTCAATGGAGTCTCAAGTTGTGTCTTTCTGAATAAACCAATCCCAGGCTGGCAAAAAGTAAATAATGTAATGCTGATGCAGTCTTTAAACTACTTGTTTATTTACAGTGTCTTCATGTCTGGGAATATTCATATCCCCCCAAAAGTATCTTACTCCCATTCAAATGTTCACAGGAACATAGGAAAGTAGGCCTGGAAGAGACCTCATGAGGTCGTTTAGTTCAGTCTCCTACTCAAGGACCACTACTAAAGACCATTCCAGCCAAGTGGCTGTCTAACCTTTTCTTGAAAATTTTTAGGGATGGAGATTTCACAGTTCCTTTAAGTAGCCTGTTCCAATGCTTGACCATCCTCATAGTCAGAAAGCTCCTTTTAATCTCTTATCTAAATTTCCCCTGCAGAAGCTTGAGGCAATTGCTCCTAGTCCTGTCCTCTACAGCCACAGAGAAACAGCCTGCCTCCATCTTATCTGCAATTGTCATTCAGGAATTTGAAGACTTATCAAATCCCCACTCAGGCTTCACTTCTCCAGATTAAATAATTCTAGTTCTTTCAGCCTTTCCTTATAAATTGTGTTTTGGAGGCCTCTAATCATTTTTGTTACTGTGCACTGGACTCTTTCAAAGAATGGTTTCTTTGATCATTTTTTCCAAGATCTTCCCAGGGATTGAGGTCAAACTGATTGGCCTGTAGTTTCCTGGGTCTTCTTTCCTCCCTTTCTTGAAGATAGGCACTACATTAGCCCTCTTCCAATCTTCAAATACTCTGCTCGAGCGCCACGAGTTCTTGAATATCCTTGCCAGTGGCTGTGCTGTGATGTCTGCCAGTTCCTTTAGCACTCTTGGGTGCAACCATTCTGGACCAGCTGACTTGTGGGGGTCCAGCCTCTCAACGTGCTCCTTCACAAGATCTATGCCAATAGTAGGCATATATTCACCCTCACCCTGGTCATCCCGCACCATGTTAGGCAAGGTGGTCCCTTTGGGCTGGTGAGAAACCAATGCAAAGTAATCATTAAGCAGATTGGCTTTTTCTTGGGTGTCAGGAGTCAGCTGCCTCAATTGGTTTAGCAGGGGTCCAATGTTGCCCTTGTTTTTCTTTCGACTCCCCACATATCTGAAGAAGAACTTTTTATTGTCCTTGAGTCGTGTAGCCAGTTTGAGTTTGGTTTCAGCCTTGGCTTTCCTAGTCCACACCCTACAGGTGCAGACCAGTGTGGAATACTTCTCCTTAGTGGTGTTTCCTGTTTTCCATCCTTTATAAGCCGCTCTTTTTAGGTGTAGGAGGTCCATGAGCTCCATGTTGAGCCAAGGGGTTGCTGAGCCCTTTTACCACCTTTTCTACCTCAGTTTGTCTCACCCTCCTCAGCCCATGACCCATAGCCAGAAGGATCAAGGAAAAAACCACCCGTGCCCCCAACCCTCTGAGCCCCACTCCCAGAGCCCTGCAGTCATTCATGACCTGGCTGGGATTGCTCCGAGCCATGTCATTTGTGCCCACATGGATAAGGAGCATGGGGTAGTGGTCAGAGGACAGTATAAGTTTGGGGATCCTCTCAGCCACATCCCAGATACGGGCTCCCAGGAGGCAGCAGACCTCCCAGGCTAAGGGGTCAGGGCAGCAGTTCGCTCCCTCTGTCCCCCTCAGAATGGAGTTTTCCACAATGACCACTTTGCATTTCATCTTAGGGATGGTAGCTGCTCACGTTTCTTCCTCACTTGCAGGAGCTGGCAGCTCTGCAGGTTCTACTGGTGCTGTGAGGGGTTTGTACCTGTTGCAGATATCCAGGGGGGGTGGTGACCTCCGAGCCTTGGGGCCAGATATGACCTTTGTCCAAACCCCTGGCTGAACAGTATGCGAGTGCCTCTTGGCCTCCCTTGTCCTGGCAGGCAACTTAGCTCTTTCCTCTTCTTTTTTTGGGTGAAGGGCCTGGCAGTAGGAGTCAATCTCCTGTTCACTATCCCTGATGGCCCACAGCCTCTGCACCATGGTCTGGAGTTCCACTATCTGGCATTCCAGAGACTCCAATGCAGAGCAAACTTCACAAGGGGAGGTTGCAATGTTCCTAACCTCATGTGCCTGCAGTCATGCCAGGCAGCCCCCACAGCCGAGAGCCAGGGGCTCTGTCTAAATGGAGGCCAGAACCATGGGTTCTGTCTGGGTGGAGGCCTCAGCAGTACCAGAGCGGGGGATCCCGCCGCTGGGGGGAACCTCTGGGTGTGATGCGTGCCACCCACCATGGCACAGATAGTAGTCTGGCTACTACTGTGCCGATCGTTCTCTTCAGGCTCGCCTCATGCCCCTCCTGCTTGCCTTCCTGCACAAACTCCCATGCTAACTCACGGACCGGGCCAAAAGCACGCCTGTTTGCATGCTCTGTTCGCGAGGCTCTGATTGCATGGATTCCTGGGGGGTTGAGTGACGTAGGAAGAAGTCTTGCTCTGGAGCCAGGGCCAAACTGCAGCTTCTGCCATTGGCGGGCCCTTTTAAACTCTACACGTGCAGTAGGGCCCACCAGTGCCACACTTCTCTTGGGGAACTGGGGGGTCCTTCTCTGGTGGGAACACAGAGAAGGGCACAGGTAAGTACGCCCCCCCCCACCCCATCTCATGCACCGGATGGCACCGGTTGCATGGCTCCCTGGGGGGCTGGGCCGGCGAGGCAGGACCCTCCTAAGCTCCTCAGCTGCCCTGCAGCTGAAATAACTCCCACCCACTGTGGACCACACCTACCTGCCGGCTGCGCTGGAGGTTGGGGTCAGGATCTGCTGAGGTCCTGTTGGGAATCCCAGGGCTCACGGGGACCCAATGGAGTTCTTCTCATGCATCTCACTCTGGAGCCGAGGCCAAGCTGCCCCTCAGAGTAGGGGCCAAACTGATATAATCATTTTGAATTTTGTGATCTCTTTCCTGATATCTAGGCTGCCTCGATCCCTGTCTCCTGCGTCATCATCCTGAAGGACCCCAAAAAAGCATTCAGTTAAACATTTGCAGATTATTAGATCACCTTTGCTCTCCACTCTACCTTCACTGCATAGCAGGCCTAATCCCTCTTCCTTGTTTTTTATTATATAGCTAAAGAACCATGTACTATTTTATTTATTTATTTTATTTTTTGCAAAGCCTAACACATGGTGACTTGAGACAGTCTTCCTTGTGGATCTGGCCCCCTTTCCGCTCTTCATAGGCTTTTTTCTTAAACCCACTAACCAAACACCCACATGAACTTAGGAATGGTCTCTGTCTATCCTTTTACACATGGTCATTCATGGAGCCTTTCCC